GGGGTTTTTTGGCAGAACCGGGGATTGAACTCATACCCTTGTGCTTTCCAAGGAAGCACTTATTCCACTGAGCCATCTCCCCGGCCCCCCTCCTCTTTTCTTAATATGCACATAGTTCTCATTTAACAACCCATCTGCTTAATGACTATTTAGATTTACAAGCCACTGCTCAGACTTACATCTTTTTTCTTTATACAGTACACCTTGTTCATACGGCACTATAATTTTTGCTGATGCTATACATTATGGCCGTGTAGTTTCATGTTCTATTATACATTAACAGTACTGCATGTGAGAGTTATAACTAATAAAAGCAAAGTCATTGCAGGATGTGGTGGCACATGCCTGGAACCCCAGCACTCGGGAGGGGGAGACCCTTGTTTTTTGGGTCACTTTTCTCATTGCTGAGATGAAATATCTGACACCCCAAGTTAAAAGAAGTAGGGCTGGGGAAATGGCTCAGTGGAATAAGCGCTTCCCTGGTAAGCACAAGGGCCTGAGTTCAATCCCCAGTTCTGAAAAAAAAAAAAAAAAGTAAAGGTTTATTTAGCTCACAGCTTGAGTGGGTTCCGTCCCTCATTGCCTGGCTAAAAGGCAGGGCAGAAAGCAGATAGATATCCCAGAGGAATAAAAGTTCATGGTGGAGAGAGGGTAGCGAAGCAAGCGAGCAAGGCCCTGAGCAATGTTTTTCTGCCCCCTTTCTACTTTGTGCAGGCTACAGGTGTAGGGCAGTGCCAAACCCATTTGTGGACTCATGTAATAATCATACATGCCAAATCCCAGCATCAGACACCTGAGACAGCCCCATCTATGACTGCATGAGACTTTGGGGGACATCTGGACACAAACCACAACACCTTGACTCAAAAAAAAAAAAAAAAAAAGACATCATCAAGTTGTAGTTTCCTTTCCTTTATTTTGAAGATTGTCACGTCTATACTATACACACCTTCTCATTTATCATTCAGCAACCAATCCACTTAACAGCCTCGTAGCCGGGAGAAAGCGTGGTCCTTAAATGAGGAGCACCTATAATTTAACACATTTACCTGCTTTGGTGTAGTTGCCTCTAGTATTTGTGACCACACTTAGGAACACTGTGGCCAAAGTAGGTAAGAAGAGGAAAGTGGAACTTAGCAGGGCTGGTGTTTGGGCAGCGGAGGGAGGCCTG